TATAATGTATTTCTGGGATTTGTAGTCCTCTATAGCCAGTGTAATTCTGTATTGCTGTATAATGTATTGCTGGGATCTGTAGTCCCACTATAGATGATGGTATTATTCTGCATTGCTGTATAATGTATTGCTGAGATTTGTTGTCTTCTATAGCTGGTGGTATTCTGTATTGCTATATAATGTATTGATCAGATTTGATTGTAACCAGGGTCACATCAATCGCGCGAGTACAGCAGTGATGAGGGATCTCTCCCCCAGCAGCATGCTATAAGTTTCCTCGACCCATAAAATTTCACTTCCAGCTACGCATAAAGAAAGGGCGACAGTAAAACAGCTGATTCAGATTACACCGCGGCACCGAAAGTGACAGTCACAAAATGTTATGGGGTCGAGAAAAATTATAGAACACTGGCTTTGATACTGTCCGGCTCCTCCCACAGCGGACATGGAGCGGAGGAGCCAGAACCATGTGGGGAGCCCAGCACGAGGAGATTGCCATCCCTCGGTCAGCCACCCCATTCATGGACTTCATGGTGAGTCCTCCCTTCAAAACAGGGGCTGACTGGCAACTTTTAGCCCAGGGGGCAAGTATAATCTGCTTCAAACTACTGTTACATGGATGGTGAAAGTGGCAGCAAGTGGTGGGGAAGAGGAAGAGCGGGAGTAGGGCCAAGTCGCTGCACCAGGGGTTGTACTTGCCCCCTGGGCCAAAAGTTGCCAGTCAGCCCCTGGTAGTTACAGTTAGAATATTACCTGAACTAATGTTAAAGCAAATGTTTTACTTTCCTGCTTCCTGTTCAGCAAAAGGAAGCACGAATGTAAGAAATTTGCTTTAAAATGAGTTCACCTAAAGTGTTCAGCTAATGAGTTCAACTGAAGTGTTCGATATCTTACGGAAAGGAAGCTAAAAAAATCCTCAAAGCACATTCAGCGCAACCAAACTATCACTGAAGAAAGCGAAGTCTGCAAACGTGAAAGGATGCGGAAGTTTTGCGTTCCAGGTACTTGTAAAGTCTTTCAACTCCACCCCTACCAGGAACTACTTCACCAATCACAGAGCAAGTCGCAGCCGAGGTTTGGAATACACGAGAAGTCCAACCCCCTCCAATCAGCGAAGAGGATCGGACTCATTGGGACAGTGCTACTAAAGTGTTGGGACCAGTAGCGTCACGCAGCTGGCTAAACGTTGGGGAGCGGGTGCAAGTGGTGTGTGGAAGAGGAGGAAGGATGTGAACTCTTCATTGCCTTTGGAGCTGCCGACTCAGGTAATATTTACATCAGATGGAATTAAATCTCCGCACGCTCCCCTGGTGGTCACTGCAGACCTGCCCGCATTGCTTGTGGTCTCTGACTCGAGGTGGCATATTCCCAGCAGGCCATATACTCCTAACTTGCAGTCAGGTCTAAGCATTGTACTGGTCAAGGGTTTCTTTAAATTCCAGGTTCGGTGATAAATCGGCTGCAGGGCCCTAAGCTGTAAATACTCTACGTGTGTCTATTCCATTAGCTGTTCAGTAATGCTTCTTTTTCTGTTTTCCAATGTTATAACTAGGTCCCCACTGAAGGGGGTCCTTTTGGTACCCAGGGCAAGCATGATTTAGCAAAACTTCTAAGAGCTGGTATAGATGGGTGTTGTTGTTGTTGTTGTTGTTGTTGTTGTTGTTGTTGTTGGTTGTGATTTGTGTTTGAAGCATGCTCACTCCACATGTTTTGCATATTTCAGTTTAGTTTAATCCTGTAAATGATCATTCAATATGTTTGACCTGGTTTTGTTCACGTTTTATGTGATTTTTTTTTTTTTTGTCTGCTTCTAAAATTCTTGATCTCACAGACAAGCACAATAAATGGATCCTGTTGCGCTTCTACTAGCGGGTAAAAATTCTTCTCAAATACATTTACTGCATTTTGAATGAACACACACACTGCTGTGTTTTGAACACAAAAAGTTCAGAAGCAAGGATCATCTATATAAGCCCTTCTACACCAGCAATGATTCCTTTTATAGCGAACCATCATCAGTACCTTCCAGGTGACATAGCCCTAGGCATGTTTTCCAGGACCCCTAATTGTTTATTTTCTAAACTTTTAAACAACACACCGCTTTATCATCAAAATTAGACACTTAATTACTGGCTATAATCCTTTTGTCAGTAAACTTTCTTTACTATAGGTGAAATTCCCTATCCATAATCGGTTTCCTTTGACATTAGTCAGTTCCTCTTTCCATTCAATCAAGGTGCTGCTTCCAAACTAATTCTTGCCAATAATGGATTTGACCCCTTATTAGTTATACCCCTAAAATATACTACTATGGTGTCAAGGTCCACCATCTGTGGGACTTTTGTCCAGTATAGCAAGGTCTAATTTGCCTCTGGACCTTCTTTTATTAACAGCAGGCAACCCTTTTTCTCCTTTTGTATTGAACAGGTCCCCTCCTATGGAGTCAGTTTTCTAGTACATAACACACTGCTATATGTCTTGCACATTTCATTTTTCTTTTTAATACTGGCTTTTAATGTACGAGGGATCTATTTACTAAGTATCATTTTAGAGTGTATGTGTATCCAAAACCTTTCTTTTTAGCTCTGGATAGAATAGAACCCTTCCTTTTGGATGGAAGGGTTATGACCCATCAGTTTAATATTTACTGTACTGCCTTTAATTCTTCGTGGCATAGATTCAACAAGGTGTTGAAAACATTCCTCAGAGATTTTGGTCCATATTGACTTGATAGCATCACGCATTTGCTGCAGATTTGTCGGCTGCTCATCCATGATGCAAATCTCCCGTTCCACCACATCCCAAAAGGTGCTCTATTGGATTGCGATCTGGTGACTGTGGAGGCCATTGTAGTACAGTGAACTAATTTTCATGCTCCAGAAATCAGTTTGGGATGATGTGAGCTTTGTGACATCATGCATTATCCTGCTGGAAGTACCCACCAGAAGATGGGTACACTGTAGTCATAAAGGGATAGAAATGGTCAGCAACAATACTTAGTACCAATTGAGCTTCATTTAAACACCACGGCTACCTAATGGGCCCAAAGTGTGCCAAGAAAATATTCCCTACACCCAGGGGTGCCCACAATTTTTGTGTTAAGATCTACTTTTCAAATGACGAGCTACATGAGATCTACCAACTAAAAAAACTTCCCTCGCTCTCTCTCCTGGCTGTCTTTCCTTGCTCTCTCTCCTGGCTGTCTCTCCTCTCTCTTGGCTGTCATTACTCATTTTTTCTCCTGGCTGTCTCTCTTCGCTCTCTTGGGTGTCTCTCCTTGCTCTCTCCCCTGGCTGTATCTTCACCATTCACACCCTTCGTGATCTACCAGCATCAGCTTTGAGAGCTACTGGTAGATCACGATCTACCTAATGGGCACCCCTGCCCTACACCATTACACCACCAGCCTGAACCGTTGATAGAAGGCAGGATGGATCCATGCTTTCATGTTTACGCCTAATTCTGACCCTACCATCTGAATGTCGCAGCTGAAATCGAGACTCGTCAGGCTAGGCAACGTTTTCCAATCTTCTACTGTCCAATTTTGGGGGGCCTGTGCGAATTTGTAGCCTCCATTTCCTGTTCTTGGCTGACAGGAGTAGCACCAGGTGTGGTCTTCTGCTGCTGTAGCCCATCTGCTTCAAGGTTCGACGTGTTGTTCGTCGGTATTCTGCATACTTTGGTTGTAACGAGTGGTTATTTGAGTTACTGTTGCCTTTCTATCATCTCGAACGAACTGAATGTCGACATAGCAGGCAGTGGCTTGGAGCAATAGCCGGTCTGCTATTAACTATTTTAAATTGCAGTAGCCAATAGCAGGCTGCCTATTGCACCCGCCCACTGCCTGCTGTCAATCAACTGATTGACAGCAGGCAGTGGGTGGGTGCAATAGCGGACTGGCTATTGCTCTCAGCCACTGGATGTGAGTCTTGACACCGGCTTTCTACCGCCGGCAGAAGAGGAAGGCACAAGGGGCATGAGGAAGAATGGGGAACAGCAGCGGAGGAACGGTGCACAGAACGAGGCACGGCTGGCGGAAGAACGGGTCACGGCAGGAGGAACGTGGCACAGCAGTGGGGGGGAATGCAAAAGCACAGCGGCCTCTACTCCCCGCTGGGCGCTGGCTGCAGAACTCTGTGTCCCCTCTAATTAAAGCTATGCAGCAGTTCCCAGCAAGGAGAACGGAGGAGCAGACCACAGGGGGAAATGTATCTAATCGGAATCCACTAATCTTGAATCTTTCCAGAAGGGACACAAATAGCTATAAAAACCTGAGAGGGTTCTAACTTTTCCCACCCTGTCTAAAACAGAAGAAACCGTTTGGACTAGATATACACTTTAAAAATTTCAATGTTATATTTTTGTTCCTGTAGGATGAGGATCATTGTGCTTGAAGTGATAAGAAATTCAAAAGTCTTTTCAAAATTTCAAATTTGAATTTTGATTTAATTCACTTACAATGGATGCTGCTCCTTGATGTTTAAAAGTTTTATCTTTCCGCAGGATTGGCTGGTCCCCTGAGCTCTGACTCTGATATCCTTTTTTAGTGTGGCTCCTTTTCTCTTGCAGGGTCTTATGTTGCCACCCTCATGTACACTAGTAAGCTGTGTGCGTCTCCACAAACACACAGGCACAGCAAGGCAAGTTGCTGCCCTACTCGTCCTTCTTCAAGCTAGTAGATGGGCAGATGCTGGTGACTGTTCTGTCCCTTGTGAGCTTGTACTCAACAGGAATTTCAGGGAAGCCAAGCTGAGGGAGTTGGAGCCGGGTGTTCAAAAATATGATGATTGTAAGAGCTTGGGGAAATACTTTGCTGGGCAATGTTTGTTTGATCTAGATTCATTATTGAAAAATGTTTGCGTTTAATACTACTTTAATCTTCTCTTTTTTTTTTTTTTTTTTATATTTATTGCATGTTATGGTATGGAGGAAAAAGAGAGATGTGGAGTGCTTTCTGATTAAAAAATAACAAAGCAGTATCGCTCTTCTTATTCTGGACAACTAAAAAAGGCTCAGGTTTTGTCACTGTGATAGAGCATACTCCTTTTCTTGCTGCAAGGAAGCATGGCATATCGCATAAACATACACGATCCTTACTAGGACCTCCAGTGTGCAGTCACTTTAGAGGACATTGCTAAGACTAATAGCATTGCTGCAGTTCTATCCTAACCTTGGTTCTCAACCATGAGTTGTGTACCGTGGAAAGGAGATAAGGCAAAAAGTGGTGGTGAATTTCAAGAACCTCTTCCAGCTCAAATTTACCATGAGAAACAGCGACGGGAACTATGTGCTCTCCATGCCTTGAATAATGTCTTCCAGGATGCTGGAGCGTTCAACCGCGAAGCCCTTCAGGAGATATTCCAGAGGTGAGAGATCTAGTCTAATGATGGAATTTTCACTGTGGTCAATTTGAATTTAGATCGCATGTAGTGTTAAACTATAGCTGTTTCATTTAGTTACCTTTTTAGGGTTTGTTTACACCATAGCATTGCATTAAATGCATGGTATCCATATGTTTACCACACTCGCACAGCGCACCTAGTGTGTTGTATTGTGTGTTACCATTAATTTTAAATGGCACCCAACGCACCTCCTGTTGTGCTGCAATGCGAGGTAACACAATACATTGATGCGTTAGGAAAAAAAAGTAGTGCATGCACAATTTTTTTTTTTTCACCACAACACAGGGCTACTGGGAAATGTGTTAGTGTGCCATTAAAATAAATGGCAATGCAGCGCTTCAACGTACGTTTCTGTGGGCTAGGTGGCTGTGCCATAGCATGTGCTAAATGCACGCATACCATGCATTTAGCACAACACTATGGTGTAAACCAGGAGTCTCAAACTCAATTTACTTGGGGGCCACTAGACAAATGTTTTTCTCCAATGCGGGTTGCTTGGCAAATTTCATAAAATGTCATACTTTAAACAAAAGTTTACTATATACGCTACCATTGTTAAGGTTTGCGTGTGCTTATAATGTCAGTATAGGGGTTTGTGATGGTTTCTTTGTATGCAGTGTCAGTATATTTTATGTGATGGTTTGTGTGTGTTTGTCAGGATTTCTGTAAGTGATGTCAGTATGTGTGTTAATGTTTCTGTGTGTCATATCAGTATGTGTGCAGTGTCAGTATATGGGTTGGTTTTTTTTCCTATTTCCACAGGTTTTAATTTTCATAATAGTGGACCAACAGATTTTCTCACATGCACACAAATATACACACACCACAAATAAGTACACCCCGCCCCCCCCATATAAAAACACCCACTTCAGGGGTGTGGACATTTTTGAAAAAACTACTTGTCCAAGGGCTAAAGCGGGGGCCAAATCTTTGCCTTACGGCGGAGGGTAAGGATTGTTTGCCGAAAGGTAAGTATAGCTGGGGGGTGGGGGTTTTTGGGAGAGACGGGGGCCAGATTTGATCGGGTAAATCCATTTTCCCATATTACCTGGGAAAGTGAACTTGCCCTTTAATGCACATTGTGCGTGTGAGAGTTCTGCTGCCTCGCTACCACAATATGGCACAGTGAAATGCTGGCAGCACTCAACGTGTACGCAAACAATGTCCTATGCGTGCGTTTATTTGCATGCAGATGGCGGGGGCAGCGGGTTGGTTTTTTTTTTTTTTGTTTTTTTTTACATTGTCACTTTTTTTAAAATATATAATTAATTATTTTTAACTTTTTTATAACTTCTTTTTTTAAAATTTTTTTTTTTTTTTTTTTACCCCCACCTAATTTTATTCCTATCACATGGGGATTTAAAATCCTCTAAGTGATAGTTTGGAGGTGACAGGTTCTCTTTATGGAACCTGCCCTCCAACACAGAACTGATGTTCTGTGTAGTTCCTGACAGCTGAGACAGGTGGCGCTGTGACGGTCTCAGTGATAACACAGAGCAGACGAAAAACTGAAGTTTTTCGTCTGCTCTGCGGGCTCTATGGTGAGCTCATGTTCCGTGGTCTCGGGTCCGCCAGAGGAGAGGGGGATCCCGAACACCGGAGGGGCGGTGTGGACAGAATCGCTTCTCGTTTAATTCAAGTGATCTGATAAATGATCAGATCACTTGAAAACGAGCGGCGGCTCCACACTGTACACTTAGCTCTGCTTGTCCGGAGCGGGGCTAAGTGTACAAAAAAACTACTTGCCCGGCGCCCGAAACTGCATGTCCCGGGCGTCGGGCGATAGGAATTCCACACCCCTGCACTTGCACCTTCTCGAAGGTGCCCATTCACCTCCACAATTATTGTTCGAAAAACGAATGCGATCTGTTTTTCGTACGATAATTGGCCAGTTGATGGGGAAGTGCACGATCACAATTACTGTACAACTGGCTAAATTTGGTTGAACGGGGAGTGACTGAATTGATTTTACATTGATGGATTAGGGGCGTTTTCGTACAGCAAAAATCGCAACAAGAACACTGCACATGTGCAAACAAAAATCTGTTCTGTCAACCGACAAAATTAGACAAGTTATTATTGCTGACGAACCATTATCGAAATCTACATTGGTCTGTGCATGATGGGCTATTGGTGCAGAAATTGAATGAGGATGCGATGACGGGACAAATAAAATTGAACCATAATTGTAAGGTGTATGGCCACCTTTTAAAGTAAAAGCCGCCTCACCTGCTTACATTTATTTGCAGGGAGGGGGCACAGTGGGGGATTAGTAGTCTGCACTAGGGATGCACCGATACCATTTTTACCATTTTTTTTCAAGACCGAGTACTGATACTTTTTCTCAAGTACTCGCTAATACCAATTATTGATACTTTACTTTTCTTCCCCAAGGCATCTTCCAGGGCAGCACCTAGGATCCACCCACCTAAAAACAGGAAACGCATCATCCACAATTAAAATAAAATGGGCGGTACTGCCCCACCACCTCAGTTTATTGTGTTTCCTCCGGCCTAATAGGAGCATCGTAACCATTGTCTGTAGGCCTGCTTGCTAGTTGCAGGGGCCTCCCCAGTGTATGCTCCCCGTGAATCAGGGACCTGGGGGGTTGCATGCCTGGGCTTGTTCTAGGATTAACCTCCAGGTTATCCTGTTATGGGACCTTCCCTCCCCATCTATCCCTAAGGTTTCTTATCCGCCTTGAGGAAAAGCAACCATCCCCGGGTGCATTTCGGCTGCATTTTCCTTACTCGCATTTGGTTCGGCTCAGAGCTCTGCTCTGCATTGCCGGTTTGCCATCCATGCTCCCTATGTATGCTGCCATGTTTTGGATATTGATATCCAGTAGCATCCTGGGCCTCCTTGAATGGACAGCTATGCGACTGAGTGGTGAGTACCCCTGCCACCAGCATCCAAAGACGCCAGGGAGGGAGTGCAGCGGGCAGGAGACGGAGCCACAAGCAGTCATGAACATGAAGTGTTCCAGCAGGCTTCCTCTGGTCGGCAGTGCTACACCATGCAGCCTGATTTCTGCTGTGTCATTTACAGACACTAATGGTTCCAAGGTAGGTTGGAAGTCTTCAGGTAAGACCCTTGGGAGGTGATCCTCCTTTTGGGTGTTGGTTGCTGAGGGTTATAGTGCCTCTTATTAACACAGGTTTTGTATGTGTTATGCGTTGCTCCAGAGAGAGATCAGGCTAGGATGTCTTTTTTTGTACTTGCATCAGGCCTTTGGGTCAAAGGCAACAGCCTGTTTGTATAAGCAAGCAAAACCTAGGCCGGTAACAAATGTTTTACAGACTCCTTTGCCAAAAACATTAGAGTGTGTATGAGCACTGGAGGCTTATTTTACACCTTTTTCTTTGGTGCACACTTTGTTCAAGATGGTTCACAAGGAGAGACTGTGTATAATGTTCAGATCCTGATAGTGCTGCAATTGTATTGTGCGTTATATATGCTTATTAGCATATGTAGATGTTAGACTTCTGATTGCACTAGTACAATAATAGCACATCAATGTGTCAATGGGGTTTTAAGAGGCATCAGACTTGAAAAAATACAATTTATTATCAACTACATAAAAACATTCATAAATTCCATTAAAAACAATCAGTTGCGAGGGGGTGTGACTAGTGAGCGGATGTTAGTGGGCGTGCACGCGTGGACCCGGCGTGGTGTGGAAACAGTTGCTCTGACTGTCCTCTACTATGAGACTGCGGGCTGACTGGCTGATTCTGCTAGCACGAGTCCCCTGCTAGCTTCCTCTGCTGCTGTGCTTTGCTGGTTCCCTCTGCACATACCTTTTGCCCTGGTCGATTGGGGCGGTGGATGTCGGTCGGCCCGTCGCGGGGAAGGGCGGTGGTGATCTGGCGGACGCCGCTCTGGATTGCGGTGAGTGGAGGCTCGATGCTCGGAGGGGAAGGAGATCTGCTGCTGTTCCGTCTGCTCCGTTTTGTTGGCTCCCTCCGGTGGCAGTGGGTGGAAGTGCAGAGAGCTGGATGGTGGAGAAGCTGAAGGAGGTGATTTGGCTCCCCCCAGTGGTATACAAGGAATAGTGCGGCAGTTCATTATAAATCTGCTTATATTAAAGGACAATAGAAAGAATGAACAAAAGCACTAGAACTGGGTCAAAAAAAGAGACTGTTCCAGAAATGGATAATAGAGGGGGAACTAAGCAATCACCCCGTGAGCCGAAACAGTCCAATAAAGAGAAGCAGAAGGAAGTGGCTTCAAAACTGGAAAAGTTTGCTAGAGGAAATACCACAGGTATTGATGACATCCAAAAAAATAAAATGCGACTAAGTTTGGGAGATAAGTCTCTCTGTAAGGGGTCCAAGGATCTGTTTGTGGAAGAAGGGGGGGACTGTTGATATATCTAATGGACGTCTATCCCTGCAAGACTCTGATACCCGAGGTGACCCTAACCTCAGGGATGTGCTTTCAGCAGTCCAAGCCAGTAACGCCACTCTGGCATCCATGGCGGAGCAAATTCAAGCTACACGGATAGATATATCCCTTCTCAGGCAAGATATGCAGAAATTTAGAGAAAGGCTGACGGAGGCAGAAGACAGAATTAACAAGCTGGAGGATGTAAATGCTTCTGTATGTGCCGATCTAAAAATGGCTTTGCAAAAAGTTACTATTACCTCTAGTAAGATCGAAGAGTTGGAAGACAGAGCAAGGCGCAATAACATCAGAATGGTGGGAATGCCTGAACAGGCTGAGGGGTTAAATCCGGTGGCGTATATGGAAAATTGGATCGTAGAGACAATAGGAAAAGAACAATTATCTCCTATGTTTATGATTGAGAGTGCTTATAGAATTCCTGCACATATGAAGGTACAGGGAAATTTCCCAAGGACTATGTTGTTTAAAGTGACTAATTACAGAGATAAGGAGGTAATCCTCCATAAAGTTCGTGAATTGGGAGCTATATCTGCGGCAGGTGCGCGAGTGATGCTATT